CCTTCGATTTGCTAATTCGTTCCCTCGATTTGCTAAATCGTGTGCACAATTTACTAATTCGTTCTCGATTTATAATCGAGATAATAATAATGTGCACGACTTAGCAAATCGATGGAACGAATTAGTAAATCGTGCGCACAATTTATAAATCGAGGGAGCGAAATAGTCAATCGTGCACACGATTTAGCCTACCATTTTTTTTCTGCATGACATGTGCGAGGCTCCGTATCGTCACTCTGTCATGGAAACTAGCATGTATAGACCTCAATTAAACTATTTATTAAAAATAAATCTGTATCTGTATGATATTATTATGAACCCACATTGGACCATCAGTTTGGAAAACAAATGGATTGATGATTCAGCTGTGGGCGCCACCTGTGGGCACATTGATGTGTTTGATTAGGGTTGGAACTAAACTTTTCGGGGCAGCGGCTCTCCAGGACCAACGTTGCCTATCCCTGCTCTAGCCGTTGAGTGTACATCGGTTGTGAACTCGTTATTGAGGTGCATTATGGGAATGAGTGCACTCGATAACATCCACTATGGTTTCGGGGAACCACTGCAAATAACTGTCCCCTTAAATATTGCACTATTTAGGAGTATAGGGGCGAATAGGGGCGGACACAGCCTGTGAATGGCAATGAAGTGATGCAACTGATGCCGCAGCAGGTCACTTAACAGTGACAACATGGCGGATGTAGTATGTCTGAATTTCATTCATACTACACACTATATAGAGCGTCATACTATATAGAACATTAACGGTCACAAAGCAAGTTTCAAACCAAATGTAGTATATCGTTTTCGATTTTAGACCCATCATGGGAGCAGGGTTGAAGACCTCTGCTCTAAATTATAAAGTGAAGTGATGCAACTGATGCCGCAGCAGGTCACTTAACAGTGACAACATGGCGGATGTAGTATGTTTGAATTTCATTCATACTACACACTATATAGAGCGTCATACTATATAGAACATTAACGGTCACAAAGCAAGTTTCAAACCAAATGTAGTATATCGTTTTCGATTTTAGACCCATCATGGGAGCAGGGTTGAAGACCTCTGCTCTAAATTATAAAGACACGGTGAAGAGTTAACCCATTTTAGGATACACATTTTCAGGCTAATTGCTATTTATGCTTATTTCAGAGAAGTTGTCTTTGGTATAGCAGATTTATTGTATATTTATTTTTATTGGACTTATTTGTGTTTTAGATTTATTTGATGTTATATGTTGCATTTTAATTGGTAAAATATTAAAGCTAATATAAATACAGCTCTGGAAAAAATTAAGAGACCACTGCAAAATTATCAGTTTCTCTGGTTTTACTATTTAAAGGTACGTATTTGAGTAAAATGAACATTTTTGTTTTGTTATATATAAACTACTGACAACATTTCTCCCAAATTCGAAATAAACATCGTCATTTAGAGCATGTATTTGCAGAAAATGACAACTGGTCAAAATAACAAAAAAAGGTGCTCTCAAATAATCCAAAGAAAACAAGTTTATATTCATTTTTAAACAATACAATACTAATGTTTTAACTTATGAAGAGTTCGAAAATCGATATTTGATGGAATAACCCTGATTTTCAATCACAGCTTTCATGAGTCTTGGCATGCTCTCCACCAGTCTTTCACATTGCTATTGGGTGACTTTATGCCACTCCTGGTGCAAAAATTCAAGTAGCTCGGCTTTGCTTGATGGCTTGTGACCATCCATCTTCCTCTTGATCTTATTCCAGAGGTTTTCAATTAGTTTAGGTCTGGAGATTGGGCTGGCCATGACAGGGTCTTGATCTAATGGTCCTCCACCAACACCTTAATTGACCTGGCTGTGTGGCACAGAGCATTGTCCTGCTGGAAAAACCAATCCTCAGAGTTGGGGAACATTTTTAGAGCAGAAGGAAACAAGTTTTCTTCCAGGACAACCTTGTACGTGGCTTGATTCATGCGACCTTCACATGTGCCCGATTCCAGCCATGCTGAAGCACCACAGATCATCACCGATCCTCCACCAAATTTCACAGTGGGTGCAAGACACTGTGGCTTATAGGCCTCTCCAGGTCTCTGTGTAACCATTAGATGACCAGGTGTTGGGCAAAGCTGAATACTGGACTCAACAGAGAAGGCCCAATCCTTATGGTCTTTTGCAAACCTCAGCCTGGCTCTTCTTTGCTTCTCATTGATGAAGGGTTTTATCTTCAGCCCTCTTAAGCACTTCAGCCCTGCCCCTAGGTGCCTGTTTCAAACCGTCCTCGCTGTACACTTCGTCCCATTTGCCATTCTTTCTGTAGGTCACTTGATGTCATCCTACAGTTGTTGAGTGAAGTTCAAATGAGTTGGCGGTCATCCTGGTCAGTGGAGAGTTGTTTTCGCCGTCTGCCAGTCTGTAGCTTTGTTGTCCCCAATGTCTGCAGCTTGAACTTGTTCTTATGAACCACTGTCTTTGAAATTTTAAGGATGGAAGCAACCTGATGTATCCTTGTGACAGTAAAGCCAGAATTGAACCCTTCTTTTCCTCACTCAAAACTTTTCTTTTTAACTCTTTTGGCATGGGCAGTAGTTATTATTTTATTCCAATTACTTTTGAGGTACTACTAGCACTATTTTTGCCATCCAGCTGGTCCTATTGCAGGAGCATAGTGATGATCACAGCAGTGGTTTTTATACTTTCCCTGATCACATAATCAGTACTTCATTAAGCATAATAAGGTGTGTCTGTGTTGGAATTCAACAGACATTGGAATGGAATGGCTGCCATACATGTAGAGATGCTGATTTAAGAACAATTTGGAGTGGTGTCTTATTTTATTTTCCAGAGCTGTATATTTAAATATAATTATGAATCCACCCCCTGCTTGAGAACCTCTCTACTAGAGCAATTTCATGAACATTTACTTATGCATTTTAGACAACATTTCATTTGCACAGAAGACATTGTATTTCTATTGCTCAAAAGCATTTTTTTTACACGTAAGACTTTTTGTCATCTCATGATTTTTGTTCAAGTATTTTCATATTTGTGCACAGAAGACTTTAGTTTGCACAGAAAAGGTGTTTTCTCTTCAACACATCCATGTAATATCAGTATCTATGTCTACACATAAATGAAATATACATACTCTATACAGTAGATCGACATCTCGCAGATGGTTACTATTGTTATTTTTGTTGTTTACAAAGATTAAATATTATTGGACCAATTAAAGAATGTTGTCATTAATGTGAATATTTACTCACATTATATATATATATATATATATATATATATATATATAGTAAAATCAAAAGCGTAACAGAATCTTGGCATCTAAAAAATCACTTTTTTAGAGTGTGCAGAGTTGGAATCGAGACAAATTGTGATGCTAAAGAAGCTAAAATATACTTTTGATTTGTTTAACGTTGTTTTGGGGTAAACTTAAGCCTGATTCTCATACTCCATTTTGTGTTGTTTCATAATTTGATGACTTTACATGTGGAAAAGCGTAATTACAAAGAATGTGCAGTACAACATAGCAACAATACAAACTGCATTGATGACAGTAACTCTAGACATTTGTGATACATAATACACAATATACAATGTACACAGGACTGTGGGCCAATAAAAATTAATATGACAATGATCTTGATGATAGGGTGACACATTAGCAGTGATTTTATAACAAAAAGAAACAATAAAGACAAAAAAAAGAGTACAATATGAATCTCTGCCTTCTTTTAATTTTTTTCTTTTGTCCACTAGACGGCGCATACGAGCAGTGACGTGGCGTGTCACTCATTTACAGCGGTGTCTACAGAAAGGTAACCACCCCACTGCGAAATTCTCGCGCATGCGCATTGTTGCTATTGTGTTTGAGCGCATGTGAATCTCGCGAGAGTTGCACGGTGGACCGTTACCTTCCAGACTCGTCCATCATTTGCGAGCGTCGCGTCGCGTTTGAGTACGTCACGCCCGTGTGTTCAGTGGCAGGCAGCGATTTGAGACAATACGGCTTTCTATTAGGGACAGTCTTATAATGAAAGCCGCTCTGAACCGCTTTCACACATTCATCCACAGAAAGCGGTGGAGCTTTATGTCTCTCTGCTGATGCAGTACCAAAGCAGACACCTGAAACGGTTTCTCTAGAAATATTTGCCTGCAGAAGACTTAAGTGCGTCTGAATGAGCTCAGCTATGGCGACGCGACTCTCTGACTTGTTTGGAAACAGCCGGATAATTGCAGGACTGCTGGTCAACTTACTGTCTTCGATCTGTATAGTGTTCATTAACAAATGGATCTATGTGCACTATGGCTTTCCCAACATGACCCTGACTCTCATTCATTTCGTAGTGACATGGCTGGGGCTGTTCACGTGCCAGAAGATGGATATATTCTCCCCCAAGAGTCATCTAAAAAATCACTTTTTTAGAGTGTGCAGAGTTGGAATCGAGACAAATTGTGATGCTAAAGAAGCTAAAATATACTTTTGATTTGTTTAACGTTGTTTTGGGGTAAACTTAAGCCTGATTCTCATACTCCATTTTGTGTTGTTTCATAATTTGATGACTTTACATGTGGAAAAGCGTAATTACAAAGAATGTGCAGTACAACATAGCAACAATACAAACTGCATTGATGACAGTAACTCTAGACATTTGTGATACATAATACACAATATACAATGTACACAGGACTGTGGGCCAATAAAAATTAATATGACAATGATCTTGATGATAGGGTGACACATTAGCAGTGATTTTATAACAAAAAGAAACAATAAAGACAAAAAAAAGAGTACAATATGAATCTCTGCCTTCTTTTAATTTTTTTCTTTTGTCCACTAGACGGCGCATACGAGCAGTGACGTGGCGTGTCACTCATTTACAGCGGTGTCTACAGAAAGGTAACCACCCCACTGCGAAATTCTCGCGCATGCGCATTGTTGCTATTGTGTTTGAGCGCATGTGAATCTCGCGAGAGTTGCACGGTGGACCGTTACCTTCCAGACTCGTCCATCATTTGCGAGCGTCGCGTCGCGTTTGAGTACGTCACGCCCGTGTGTTCAGTGGCAGGCAGCGATTTGAGACAATACGGCTTTCTATTAGGGACAGTCTTATAATGAAAGCCGCTCTGAACCGCTTTCACACATTCATCCACAGAAAGCGGTGGAGCTTTATGTCTCTCTGCTGATGCAGTACCAAAGCAGACACCTGAAACGGTTTCTCTAGAAATATTTGCCTGCAGAAGACTTAAGTGCGTCTGAATGAGCTCAGCTATGGCGACGCGACTCTCTGACTTGTTTGGAAACAGCCGGATAATTGCAGGACTGCTGGTCAACTTACTGTCTTCGATCTGTATAGTGTTCATTAACAAATGGATCTATGTGCACTATGGCTTTCCCAACATGACCCTGACTCTCATTCATTTCGTAGTGACATGGCTGGGGCTGTTCACGTGCCAGAAGATGGATATATTCTCCCCCAAGAGTCTCAGACCTTCTAAAATCATCCTGCTGGCTCTGAGTTTCTGTGGGTTTGTTGTTTTCACCAATCTGTCTCTCCAAAGCAACACTATAGGAACATATCAGCTGGCCAAGACCATGACAACACCTGTGATTATAGTCATCCAGACCATGTACTACAGAAAGACATTTTCCACAAAGATTAAACTGACTCTAGTAAGTGGGCTTTCGTTTATTTGACTGGTATTGTCTAAGAAATCATTCAAAAATATTACTTAACAGTTGCTCATATGCAATGAAATCTCAGACTGCAATTAAAATCTGTCATTCAGAATCTGGAAATAAACAGTTTGAAGTTTAAAAATTAAAATTCACGTGTGTGTGCAATTAACAATAAAAATATATAGTAGAAGTCTCATACTCATGGAATGCACTGTATTCAGCATTGCACTGTGTAATAATGCGTGTTGATTGTTAATGAGTGTTATTATAACTGTAACCTGTTTTTAACCATCATTTCTATAGCATGCACATGCTATGCATCAGTTTGAACTATGTTCTGGGTAAATGCTGATAAAAGCAAGTCATGGTTACATGCTGATTTGTTTATCTGTTTTAAGGTAATGGGGTCAAAACATGTGATTTTACACCACTTCATATAATTTATTCCTTTTATTTATTTATTATTTTTTTTATAAAAAGGTGCCGATCACTTTAGGGGTCATACTGAACTCTTACTATGACGTGAAGTTCAATCTTCTGGGGATGATCTTTGCCACACTTGGGGTCTTTGTAACCTCGCTGTATCAAGTGGTAAGCATTATTGCATTCTCACTCTGTATCGTTAATTTAAATCAGCAGGTGGTCAGGAACTGGCCAAACCAGAGACCCCCAGTAAAGCAATGCTGGTATTTACTGTGAAATGTGAAACCTAAATAAAATTTTTTAAATAACTTAAATTAAATATTTAAAACATATATTCTAAAGGAATTAATACTTTTCCATCAAGGTCACATTATGTTGACCAAATCAGTAAGGATCAGTAAATGCTGTTCTATTGAACGTTCTATTCAACAGTGAATCTTGAAAAACAATGCATCATGATTTTCACACAAATATTATGTAGCACAACTGTTTTCAACACTGATAAATAATAATAAGAAATGTTTCTTGAGCACTAAAACAGTGTATTTAAATGATTTATGAAAGATCATGTGATACTGAAGACTGGAGTAATGATGCTGAAAATTCAGCTTTGCCATCATAGGAATAAATTACATTTAAAATGGAAAACGGTATTATTTTGTAAGAATATTTCATGATATTACTGTTTTTACACTATTTTGATTCAAATAAATGCAGCCCTGGTGGGCATAAGAGATAACTTTTTTCCAAAAAAAATAAAAATTATCCCTAAACATTTGAATGTTAGTGTATGACATCTATAGAAGTAACCGAATCAACCAAATATTATCAAGTGTTGTTTTTTTTTATATAAATAAATAATTTTAAAAAAGAGTTGAAATTTCTGACCATAAATTATTTCCCTCATTAATTATTCAGATATTCACACTGCATCTGAATGGTGATTTAATCATTTATTTCTCCTATTATAGTGGGTCGGTGCCAAACAGCATGAGCTTCAGGTGAACTCTATGCAGTTACTGTATTATCAAGCACCCATGTCTTCAGCGTTTCTCTTGGTCCTGGTGCCATTCTTCGAACCCCTTACCGGAGAGGGTGGTATCTTTGGCCCCTGGTCATTTCAGGCCCTGGTAAGAGAGTGAGTGAGAAAGGGACTGTTCTTTCAATGGCTCACACACTCCTTCTGCACGTATCCAAAGCAATTTCATACATATACAAACACAGTAACAGAGAGCGCCTTGTGTTATTGCTAGGGCTGGGCGATATAGCTAAAAAAAATTATCAACGATATAATGTTTCATATCGTTCGGTATCGATAATTATTGACATTTTTTATAACCTTTTTTAAAACAGAGCAATAGAATTTTTTTGATTTTTTATTTAACCACTGTATTTTTAAATTAACCCAATTTATTGAGACAAACAACAAATATTTTTTTTGTTTTAACAGTCAAACACACAATAAAAATTAAACAAAAATCTAATTTCTAATGTTCTATATGCAGATTAAATAGGTCTTAAGGAAACTTTTGTCTCGTCTCCCGAGGCCACAAGAGGGCGTTGCCTAAATTTCTTGGGGATATATATATATATATAGATATAAAAAAGTTTACAAGTTCAGTTTATTGCTCTAAATATTACTATGTGAATGGTTATTTATTTGTTTATTAAATAAATAAGCAAAATGTATTTCCATAGGATTTGGTTTTGAGTATTTAGATGAAATGTATTTTTGAATGGTTGATTCTTGATATTTTTTTTGCTTCATCAAGGGCATGGTTCTGCTGTCTGGTGTTATTGCCTTTCTGGTCAATTTGTCCATTTACTGGATCATTGGGAACACGTCTCCTGTTACGTATCCTTTCTGTTACTTCTCTGAAATATCAGTCATTCAGCTGTGGCTATTTATTTGTTTCTATTTTTGGTGCAGAACGCACCCTTTAGACACGCATCTAAAAACAGTGCTTTCTAAAACATGACTTCATTGTTTGTTAAATATGAGATTAGGGCTATAATGCAAGCAAATGTTTGTTTACAGAGACTTGGCAAAGCTTGGCAAATAGTAACATGTAGATACACATTTGTTTAATAATGAAAGGGAAAGCTGTAAATCAAGGCACATTTTTTAGCACTGAGCTATACTGAAAACATTTCATGGTTTTGAATACACCCATTGAGTGCGAGTTCAAGAGTGAGACCTTTCTCAAAGTACGCAGTAGAGGGAGCACTTTACTAACATCTGTTTTAAACTGCACTTTTGGGCCACTTATTATATCTCAACCAACGGTTTTCAAACTTTTTTTAAAGCCAAGGACGTGGAAATATGCTAGCTTATGTTCTGTTAGCTGTCTTTCTAAAATATGCTGGCAACTATATAATTTAATATGTAAAATACCATTTATACTGTATGAAACATAGACAGTGTCATCTCATCATTTTTGCAATGCTTTAACAAATTCAGATACTTTTAATAAGTTTGTGATGACATTCATGTAGAATATTCATGTATCAATATAAATAGAAGTACTGAGTTACAGTTAAGCCAATGCCCAAACTCATGCATCCAACTCACTAATAATTCATGTACATTTAAATTGATGATTTATCCATCAATCAATATAAAAATTTGCATCTGTTATTTTATTAACAGCTTTTTTTTTTTTTACATAACTCATATCCATAAATAACTATTAAAAACAGCATGTTATTTTGCTAACACATACTTTTTAATATATTTTTAACCGATTAATTAACTTTTTTACATAGTATTTTCATTTTTTAACTTATTAACTATTTTGCATATCATATTCGCAAAACTGACACATCCATAAATCAATATTAAAACTTAACTTATTGTATTAACAGATTATACTTATTTATTTTTAACAGATTTATTAACTTTTTACATATTTGCAAGACTGTTATATCCATAAATTAATATTAAAACTACCGTCTATTATTTTATTAACAGATTATACTTGTTTATTTTTTAACAGATTTATTGACTTTTTACACATTCACAAGACTGACATATCCAGAAATATCTTTTATATCCAGAAACATCTGTTATTTTGTTAACAGATTATACTTTTTTTAAACAGGTTTATTCACTTTTGCTGCATACTAACAAGACTGATATATCCTTAGATCAATATTAAAACTATCTGTTATTTTATTAACAGATTTTTGTGTGTGAAGATTTCTCTTAAATATCATATTCACAAGCCGAACTATAAAACATAAAAATCCTAACTGTAAAGTGGTCTAAAGAATATTAACTTTGAGAAAGAATCAGAGAAGCTCATTCTGTGTGTCCCTGACTCATCTCTGAAGCTCAAGTCATGTCCTCAAAGCCTGTTTCTCAAGTGCAAGTCTCGAGGAATCTCCAAAAGTCATTGTCAGACAAGTTCCCTTAACATTTATCCTCACAGCTACAACATGTTTGGACACTTCAAGTTCTGCATCACATTACTGGGTGGGTATGTCCTCTTCCAGGACCCCTTGTCCTTAAATCAAGGTCTGGGCATCCTCTGCACACTCAGTGGCATCCTGGCATACACTCATTTCAAACTGGCAGAGCAGGAGGAGGGCAAAAGCAAGCTCACACAGAGGCCATAGGCCCGCTGATGTGCCAATCAACAAGAAAGCCAGTGTTCAGTGCCTGATTTGTTCAGGAATAGCTAGCGATGGCTCCTGCACAGGAGCGTGAAGACTAACCAAACATAGACTGGGAGGATGTAGGTTTAAGCCATAGAGGCTGAGAACTTTTAATAGCATTTCAATCTTTTTAAGAGTTTAATTTGTATTCCAAGTATTCAATATTTGCAAATAAACCTGCAAAAATATGCCGTTTGAGAGAAAAACTCTGAAACTGCTGAAGCAGTTTGTAAGTGTTCTTTTATAATGTATTTTTCAAACGGTCTGTACAACAATAAAACATTGTATAGAAAGTAACACGACTGTTTTCTTTTGTCAGATTTTTCAAGAATGGAATGTTATCTTATCTAGTCGAGTCTAAGTCGTGACTTTTAGGACAAGGGTCAGTGCCTATTTGGCAAAAAGACTTGAGTATCTGTGAAATGGAATGTCAATCATTTGTTCAGTTCATGATGAGGGCTTTTCAACTTGTTTTTCTCTTTTGCAATGCACAGCTGAAACATTAGTCACATTCCAAAGTCCTGTCTCCAGTCTAAACTCTAGATGTTTTTCAGCTTTTTTTGTGTGAATATTAGACTCGTCCTAATTTTGAAAAGGAGGTGGTAAACAAAAATGCTGCAAATTATGCTGCTTAAAGGGACGGTTTACCCAAAAATGACCTATTTTCTTCCATGGAACATGAAAAAATATATTTTGAGTATATTCATAAATATGAAAGAATATATTTTTCAAATGTGTTTTATTCTCTGTACAATTAAAGTTGACACCCCTTTAAGATGATCTGAAAGGTTTATGAAAATTATTTCAATCTGGTCTAAACTGTGTCTACATTTATTTACTTATTATATAACATGATTTATTTTTAAAAATATATAATAAATACACATTTATACTAATATATGCTATATAACATTAACAAAGTTTGGTGTCAGTACATTTTTTTAATGATTTTAAAACATTTTATGTTCACCAAGGCTACATTTAATGCAAAATTATATTGTGAAATAATGACAATATAAAATGTCTGCTTTGTTTTTGAATATATTTTAAAATGTAATTTATTCCTGTGATATCAAAGCTGAATTTTCAGCAGCCATTACTCCAGTCTTCAGAAATCATTCTAAAATGCTGATTTGCTGCTCAAGAAACATATCTTATTATTATCAGTGTTGAAAACAGTCGTGCTGCTTACTATTTTTGTAGAAACAAAATATTTGAGAAGGTTCAGAAGAACAGCATTTATCTGAATTAGAAATTGTGACATAAATATCTGTTTCTTTTGATCAATTTAAAGCAGCACTATGTAACTTTTGGCGCTCTAGCGGTTAATAAACAGAACTGCACACATCCCGCGGAAGAACATTCCAACCGGAGCTACTTCTCTAAGTTTATGTCTATTGCGATTCACGCAGGTATGTGTTACTCCGCAGCGGTGAAGACCCGACCAGGCTACAATAGTCCAAATATAAGTACTTATTATAAGTGTACCGTAGTGATACGGAATAAGACAAAAACGCGGTTTGGAAGATGAATTCATGATGTACTCGCTCATTATATACATTTAGCAAATTTTGAACACAGAAAAAGTTACATAGTGCTGCTTTAAAGCATCCTTGCTAAATAAAAGTATGAAGTATTAAAAACATGTAAAAAGGAAAGAAGCCAACAAGTGCCTAAAAACATGGAAACTCCTGGTTAATCCCAGGAAGAAGCACCTCAGTGTGTAGAGAGAATGAACAAAGATGTAATCTATACAGTATGGCAATTTCTTTTTTATCAAACATCCATGTGTTGTTGCATATTGAATAAGCATATAGATGAGTAACTGTTTCCAAACTTCTGACAGTGCAGTCTTGAACTTTAATCTTTAGGATTTGCCTTTATCCTTATTTCCATTAATTAAATTAATGGCTTTTCTGATGACTTCAGTGGTCCATGGAATTTCCTCATTATTACAGATGTACAAGCCCAAACATGTTGAGCTTAAAGGAACGTTGTACTAAAATGAACTCTGAGTCACTCTCCCTGCATGGGCCCTAAATACATATCCTTTCACAGGGACTGTACAAGACATGTTTTCATGGCACAGTCCATGTCCCCTTCATAAAGCGGTGATGTCACTCAGCAAGCAGGACCACCCCCTAACTAGCAAGTTTCTGTGTAGTTATGTCATGACAACAGACTCACTTTACAAATGAATATTTTCTGATGTGGATTTCACACACAGCTGATGACTTCCCAGCATTGTCACCAATCAGGTGACTCACAGAATCATAAGAGAAAGAACAGATCATCTTGAAATCAAAACTGATCAAAGTTCTTTCAGTTAGCACAATAGAATAGAACGCAAAATAGTTCATTAATCAAAGGAGGAATTAATTAACCAGTGGTGATGCATTTAATATCATCATGATTATAACTACAAATGGTAAGCAATTAGTATCAAGTGATAATGTTTTTGATTAATCTCATACGATTAAACAATGGACTAAATTCAACCCAAGAGGATTAGGTTTAAACCGAACCATATTAAATATAACAAATAATGTGAAAATATATTTTAAAGCTTTTAAAAAGCAGGATACACTTCATAAATTGTGTAGAGAGAATGAAAATATATTTGAAAGCTTTTAAAAAGCAGGATACACTTCATAAATTGTGTACAGAATGAAAAAATATTTTAAAGCTTTTAAAAAGCAGGATACACTTCATAAATTGTGTACAGAATGAAAAAATATTTTAAAGCTTTTAAAAAGCAGGATAAACTTCATAAATTGTGTAGAGAGAATGAAAATATATTTGAAAGCTTTTAAAAAGCAGGATACACTTCATAAAGTGTGTAGAGAGAATGTAAATATATTTTAAAGCATTTAAAAAGCTTAATAATGTCCCAAAGTGCTGTTTGTCTCCTAACTTTGTCAAGTATCTTTATCTCAAAATTTAAGTCAATTTCGATTGAGATGTTAATAAATAAATATTTGTCTTTAATTGTTCATTTTCATCAACAGCAATGCGTATTTTCTGCTTACAATAACCTACCAAAAAAATAAATAAAAAATTATGTGCAAGCAGAAAATAAATGCAGCTATAGCTACATGAATAATTTTAGTAGGCCTACTTCGACTTTGTTGTCATATTCATTTTTCATTAATTTCTTACATATTACCTGATAAATGCAGAACTCTGACTAGCCTACTAAAACTTATCCAGTGTGGTTTAATATTGAAATAAGGAATCAACAACTTTGTACGACACAGACAACCGCATACAAATGTCGTGTTAAATATAAAATGAACTTCACATGGTCAAACTCGTTTAATCGCATTAAACAAACAACAGTAAAACAGCAAATGTAGATAGGACTAATGTAAATAATATCCAACTCGCCTTCACGTGAGTGTATTGTGTGATGTTTACGCCGCGCGCTTACGATCGCAAGTGCTAGAACATTTCAAATTCAAACAGGCGCCAGTAGAGGGAGTTCGCGACGCTCAACGGTCAACAGCAGGTAAGACATTAACACTTTCAGTTTAGCCTTTTTCGTACGTTCTCATATATTTATTACACCTGTAAAGCTGTAAATATCTGAATAACATTGTTATACTCTCCAGCGAATTATTTTAACACCGTATGAGGCTTTAATGTCCGTTTAGTCGCCTAAAATAATTTGCCTCAGCCTTGCGTTAAGCGCGGCCTACTGCAGCCTCGGGTTTTCCTGATAGTCCACAGCGGGAAATAGACACCCGGGAGTGCGGGCGTTTGTGGCGTTGTTAATATAAGTTAGTTTAGTCTTGTTGTTCAAATGCGCAATGCTCCACATTAGGCAAGAATCGTTTAAGTTGTGTATTTAAAACTACTGTTACTATTCTACTTGTAAAGAAATTAAGAAATGTATATAAGTTCTATAAGTATATAAATGTATAAGTAACGTTATGTGTATAAATGAGTTATTACGTAAACAAACAAACAACCGCGGCGTATACATGTTTATGATTTTTAACTGGAGGAAAGCACACTACGCACTTTGTGTTGTTATTTGTTACACCATTATTATGTCATACTGAAACCTGACATGTCAAAAGCACGTAAAACGTCAAGCGTTTCATCACACGTAACGTTACAGCTCGTAAAACGAACAATATTTACACGTCGATCTGTTTTCATGTTACCTCTTGGGGGAAGACTTTGATGTTCCTTGATGTTAAGGCTTTACATTACTTATGTGCAGCTAATTTGAATGGAGATAGTTCCATGTATACAGATGGCAGTTATAAATCCCGAAGACAACAAACTTGAGATTGTTGTGTTTTGCGTGTGTACTGAGCATTTCAAAAAATGAGCATTGCACTGTCGTAGTCCAGAGACATTTGGAGCTTTACTCGAAGGGCATCCGTAGCACTTGTAATGAATAACTTTTAGTCTTTTCGGCTTGAATTTATTTAACTGAGGAGCTAATAATCCACGAGGGTCGTCGCTTTGGTCCAAACACTCCGTTATTTCACCTGTTACTGGGCTGATAAGCCTCAAATCCAAGTGCTTAGCCAGCAATGGGCGGGTGTAGTGAGACGGGACATGCCCGGACATGAACACAGAGAGCCAGACAACTCAGCAAAGATCGTCTACCACCACTAGGCGTCTGAAGGCAGTCATGCTTTGACATGTCATGCCCGAACCCGCCCTGTACATGATGATTGGTGCGGTGATTCTAGCCCTGACATGCCTCTCTGCGTCTATTTAAACGATAGACCGGCTCTCAGCCGGCTCCCACTCATCACTACGCCAGAGCTCAAGCACTTTATGTACATGTAGCAGAGTATATATAGAAGATTCTTTGCTAAAATAGCCAATTTACCTCTATTTGCACAGGTAATATTCGTTCTGAAGTTTGCATTTGTACTGAATTGCCTCTAAATTGTTCTATGTAGTCTAACTTTGTTTTTTTACAGATTAACTACCAATATGGCAACAGAAAGTTGTTTAAGCAGTTCTCAGATCAACAAGGTTGACAACGAAAAACTGGTAATGTAGCATTCAAGGTGTGTCTTTGTGTATTTAAGTGCGTTTTTGTACCTTGAAATGACTTGAGTTTTATTTATTGTAACTTTAGGTAAGACCAAAAGTGCAGCTGAAAAGCCTGTTAGAGGATGCAGGTGCAGATAAAGATGTTTTCACCATGAAGGAGGTGAGGAGATGTGTTTGCTGACAGCAGTTTAAGTCCATTTTATTTGATATACACTAACATTAAAAAGTTCGGGGTTG